TTGACAGTCTCTCGAGAGTCTCACTCAGCGATACCAGAGATACTCGATGAGAGACGGAGACTCGAGTCTCGCTTTCAGAGACTCTGAGAGACTCAACATTTTTATCTCGAGTAAATGGAGAAAAGAAAAATCAATATTATTTTATTATTGTAATTGTAAAAAAAAGGCGGAAGAACTATAAGGGGAAGTTTAATTGAGGTTTAGAAGAAGTAGAGGAACGCGGAAGGCTTTTCTAGCTTTACGGGTAACAATAGAGAAAACGATAGAAAAAAGAAAAAATGCGTACAAAATGCTTTTGACAATATTAAATGGGACAAAAATGTAGGGATGAGTTATATAGATAGAAGAGTGATACTTAGTTTGTACAAAGAAAGAGCAACAGCCAGTTATAAAGCTGGAGCAGCAACGTAGAGAAGTAAATATTAGGAAGGGAATCAGACAAAGATTTAATCTATACATAGAAGACGTGATCAATATTATTAAAGACAGCACAACTGTAGGGATATATATATATAAATATATATATAGAGGCAAAAGATTAGTATGGTTAGATTTGCAGATAATATAGCAGTGTTAGCATCTAACAAGGATGGGTTAGAGATAGTTTTAAATAAAATGTAAGCGGTATTGGCAAACCAGTGCCTATTGTATGAAAATAATAATAATAACAATATTATAACGTATAGATAATGCTTAACAATATGCAAACGTTTGATTTGTTAAAAGAAAATTTATTTCTCATCTGGGTTTCAATATTGACTGTCGATTTTGTTTAACAAACAACAGAGTATTTTTACACAAATTTATTAATGCCGCAGCCAATCTGAAGAATCAGGCATTGTTAACGCGAATAATTGGAAATTTTATTTTATAAAAGAACTACGCATATAAGTAATCACGCTAAAAAACGGTTTCCCTTTGACATCACTTATTTTGTTAGAGCACGGTCTGAATTTGTTTCCTTAATTATTATTAGTAGGTACTCCATAATTGATATGCAGCACGCAGTTGCAACCTGATTAGGGGCTTATAATTATAATTCATCTATAAATTTATTTATACAAACCTTAATTAATAATCTTAAACTATTTCTTTGAAGTTACAACGGGAATTTACCTAAGTAGCCATAAGTCAGTTAATTACAATCCGTAGTCGCTCCAGAGAACAGTGCTCTTGAGTTGGCTAAAGCTTGATTCACACTATCATTTAAACGACAGCAGGTAGCCGTCCGCCGGAAGTCCATCAAAATAATATGCAGTTTAATAAAGCATTGTATAATTTACACTACATTAGTGTATATTACGGCTAGCCCAAGTGACCAATATTGTACATTCACACGACGAAGTCTGTCGGTGTCTGTTGATGCCAATGAGAATACATTCAGATCTTTGGTTATTAGTAGAGGGATGTTACTAAGCGAAATCATTAAATTAATGTTTTGACGTTTTAAAGTACTGATGAAATTTTATTTCATCGTCTAACATACATTTTATACAACGTGAACAATTTTCTTTCTATTTTTCTGACCAATACCTTCGCAGAACCTGACTATTGGGACCAAATTGGCCTATTATTGTTTGCAAAAGAACATTCAAACGATATTTGATTACCTTGTATGCATTTGAAATTATGAAAACTTCTAATATAATAAGAAAAGTACAACGTGTAATTACACAACACGCAACTGAAGTGAAACTTCGTCAAACACACAAACATACCGGAATAGGGGTTAAGAAATTGGTTTAATGGTATTATTTGTACACTATGTTTCGCACGGATGCAATGCTGATAGTAATTATACTATAGAATGTCTTTATATACAACAATCATAGCTTTTTTGTCATTAGACAATACAAACCGGCCGGTACCGCTGCAACCGCTATGTCCCTGCATTTTAAGTCTGTAATATCTTCGAAAATATTCATTTAAATTACATGCTGTAAAGGACCATATTGATCTATATTAAATGCACAATGTATTTAGAAGTACTTAATCGGATAAGGATTAATGCTGTATTGCTTAAAATCGCTTCGTAAATAAGCCATTATTTCTC